ATTTTTTTCTACTTCTTAAATAAGTATTTGTCGAAACACCAATTTAATTTAATGAATTGCAAAATTTTTCATTGCTACCTACTTTTATATCTACACCATTTTTAAAGCATTAAAATACCCAGCTAAGAATACTCTACTGTTCCTTCTACACTGGATTGTATAACAAAAAAATATAAAAAGGAAAAAAAAAATAAAACTACCAAAATAAACATATATTTTAACAAACAAAAAAAACCAAAAAAAATAAAATTAAATTCTATGATGCTCGTGGTATTCCGTGAAACAAGGATAGACGCACAACCCTGGTTCGCCGATACATTGATTACAGTGGTACCTAGTAAACCTTCTAACTTCCTTGCGTTGACACCACCTACACATTTTTCTGGCTGACTTGTTACCGTACTCCTCCACGAACGGTATGCGTTCAAGAATATGCTGTGCTGGAATCTCATGGTGGTTAAAGGCTAAAAAAGTTAAAATTTAGTTTAAATAATATTAATAATAATTAAATTTCAATGATCGCATTTGTGTTAAGTAAAGCAGGTGATCACGAATGAGACCAAATGAAAAAAAAAATCAATCTCCTTTTTCTTGAATCACAGTTTTTTATAAACATTACGAATTATCCCGTGTTTTTCCCATTCTAATCGGAAACACAGAAATTTATCTAAGTATGCAATCAAGAAAGTATATTTAAAATTCAGTATGACTCTAATTCTTAATTGAAGTAAAAATATTCTTTATTTGAATCCTGGCATTCTTAAATTAACATTGCTATGCTCAATTTTTGAATTAAAAGCTATAAATAAGCTCGAACGTTGTTAATTTCAAAATAAAGAATATTTTTAGCATGGGTTCTTAAATTAAACCAAAAAAATGTTTAAATTAAAAATACTAACATGTTAAATTAAGTATGGCATCTTTAAACTTTAAGCACATTGTGTACGTTCAATAATTAAGCATAAAACGTTCTTATATTTAGAAATAATGTACTTAATAGAGGTGGGAAGTTCGAATCTTTCTACTGAATTAATTCATTTGATTCATTCACCTAAAAAGATTCGTTCTTCAAGATTCGTTCTCAAGTGATTCACTTTAGCGAACTACGAACGATGTTAGTCCGCCGATCCGGCGAAGGAAATCGAACCGGACTTTTACGAATTTGAATACTACCTAACCTACCTACCTACTAGGTCGTGGAGTAAAATAATTATAACCAGATTTATTTTAAAATAAAGCGAATTAATGTTTCATATTTCATAAAAAAAATGCAGCTGAATAATAAATACATCATTGTCCGTTAAGATAAACAACAATAACACAATTTTTTTTAAATGCTAAATATATAGCCAAAGTTAACGCAAAATTATATATTCACGATTCGTCATTTATTGTTTTAATTTTACTTTGATTTAAATTTATTTATCAGACAACACGCATAAATTGTTTACCTAAGCTTAATACACCTCCCGTAAAGTGAGAAAAACATTAAAGACACATACCGCCACCGCCTGTCAGTTAGAGTTCTCGTATTATGCCGTAGAACGTAGAACAAAAGCGACCAATTTGCCGATGACGGTGTAAAATACCAAATCTTCGAATCCGAATCGAATGAACGAAGCAACCAAACTCGGAACTCGGCATGTTTGATCGATCGCAGAGCCATCGAACAATTGACTCAAAAAAGATTCGAATCTTTTAAAAACAGGGAATCAATTCATTCGAGTCAGTCCACTGATTCGTTCTTTTTGAACGAATCGTTCGCGAACGACACACCTCTAGTACTTAAACTAAGAACACCAATGCTTAAATTAAGTATGAGGGTTCTTGAATTAAAAAGTACTGTGCTTAAATTGAGAATAAAACTTCTTAATTTTAAATATGCATAACCGTCTTTAGCTTAAGATTTTTTTTAAAACACCAATGCTTAAATTAAATATGAGGGTTCTTAAATTGAAAAGTACTGTGCTAAAATTGAGAATAAAACGTCTTGAATTTAATTATGCATAACCGTCTTTCGCTTAAGATTATTCTCACTTCATTTATATTTCATTATATTACCAATAATAGTTTTCATTGTAAAGTAGATTGTCTATTTTGACTGTCAGAATTATATTATATTGATTTAAAATCAATTTAGATAATTGTGTTTGTATTACTTTTAAAAATGACCTAAAAATCCAAAAATATTGGTGTCAGAACATAAATGAAATTAACGTATTTTTCGTCCTAGTCATATAAAAAATTTTGGCGAACGTTAACGACTAAAGTTAATGTTTTCGATCATGTCTGCCTGTTTATAAATTAACAAATTATGTTTGAATATGATATATTTAGCAAAACTGGTTTTGGTTCTATTTTATAACTGTAAAAGATAATACTAAGTAAACATTTTTTTATAAAGGTTTTAATCCATCCAGATCCAGAACCAGAAATATTCGATTTTTTTATCAGACATCGACGTTCTTGCATATAATTTGCAATTATTATTGCAATGCGCATCTACGCCATCTACCCACTAATAAATAAAACATTACTAAAACTTTTTAACAAGTTTATTATTACTGAAGAAAAAAAAACATTATTCGACATTTGTATTATTAAGATCGCAAGCCATTGCGCATCTACCCAGAAATTAATAAAACATAACTAAAACTATTTTTTATTTGAAAAAAAAAACCTTATTCGTCATTTGAATGAATACCGTGTCTGTTTTTCAAATGGACTTTGAGGTTAAACTTCCTTTTCGATACAAACAGACAAAGATGGCACTGATTGGACGGTCTCCTATTACAGTCTACTTTGTAATGTACCCTCCAGGTATTGTAGTTTTTGAACACTTTTTGGCATCTTCTGCATGAAACATTATCTACAAAATAAGGGTGGTTTACTCTTTTTTAGGTCCACATAAAAAAATTGCGAAAACCACTCCATTGTTAGATGTACTGACACATGGGTCTGAATAACAAAAGACAAAAAATCGTTAATACCCTTTAAAGATAAACAAGTGTCTAGTCAAGACAGAAATAAAATAATTGATTAGAATAAACCAGCGTCTCCCCAACTTGGTTTTTGTAGATATATTATTCCATCTTTAGTTATACCACTTTCTCTCATTTGGTCCTTTCTATTAAACCAGTGGTTCCAAACGGGGACGTTACCGCCCGCCCCTATGCGATAAAGAGAGCTAAAAAACCATTTTTGATCCAAGGCAAATTTAGGGGGTACGTTGAGGAACAACTGTCGCCTCCTGGAAAATACTTAAGAATACACAATGGAGGTTTTTTCGAAAAGTGGGCGGTGGGCTAGAAAAAGGTTGGCACCCTATGTATTAGACCTATTAATCTAAGAAGCTGTTCTGGGCAGGTCTTTAGCGAGACACTATAAATACCCAGACTTTTATCTTACCATTTTGGTTAGTTTTCGATCAATCTGTATACTAAACAATTTTCTTTATCATCATTAAGAATGGGACACAGAACAACTGAAGATTCTCCTATTATAAATAAGACGATTAAACGAAAAATGTTTAGATAAAAGATTCCCAGTACATTATTTATTTAAAAACTATTAAAAAATGTAAAAGTAATGGTGCGCAGCGGGTAATCGTGCGTACCAAGATATTTCAAATTTCGTGGGTTATCCGGAGCGCTCGACCAGTGCTGCTCTCTCCTACGCGATGGCTCAATTCCTGGCGTAATCGTTGGTGACATCAGTTTGCATACCACCGCCGTGAGATAGACTTATCGATTTTTCAACGGATTTTTGAATGCTTTGGCACATTTGAATGATAAGTATCATGGATTTATAAAACATAAACGGGTAATCGTGCGCATAAAGGCGCACGATTCCCCCTCATGTTATTAAATAGTAAGCAGTCATAGTAAGTTTATTTATTGTTTCCAGATGCCTAGAAGTTACACACGTAAGACTGCCATCCTGTCCTACACGGCCAAAAGCCTGCAAAATGCGCTGGATGCCATAAGAAACGATGGAAGAAAAATTAGGGAAGTGGGCAAATCTTTTAATATACCAGAATCTACCCTCAGAAAAAAGCTGCTAGAAAATGATCTGACACCACATCGATTGGGCCGCAAGACTGTATTCTCAAAAGAAATAGAGCGTGAGTTAAAAGAATATGTTTTGTTACTTTCAAAACTATTTTTTGGACTGACACCTGATGGGCTAAGAAGGCTAGCATTTAGGTATGCAGAACAACTTAATATTGTCCATAACTTTAATCGAGAAAAGGGAGTAGCTGGAAAGGTATGGCTTTATGGGTTCTTAAAAAAATTTCCTGATGTAAAACTAAGACAGCCTGAGGGTACTAGCTTAAATTGGATTACATCCTTTAATAAAGAATCTGTAAAATTATTTTATTCCAATCTTGAAATCCTCATGCAGAAGTTTAAATTTGAACAAAACAGAATATTCAACATGGACGAAACAGGTATTACAACTGTTCAAGCCCAAATGTCCAAAGGTATACGGTGCCAAGGGAGCAAAAAAAGTGGGCTCCGCTACATCCGGTGAAAGAGGATGGACCATAACTGGCGTTTTCTGTATGAGTGCTTCAGGGAATTACATCCCGCCAATGATTATTTATCCCCGGAAAAAAATGCAAACAACTCTTCAAACAAACGGACCCTTAGGTGCTGTCTATAAATGTTCTAAAAATGGTTGGATTAATTCTGAGTTGTTTTTTGAGTGGTTATCTCATTTTGCAAAACATACAAAGCCCACTTTTGGTTCTAGATAACCATTCAAGTCATATTTTGATTTCGGCTTATAATTTCTGTAGGAAAAATAATATTCATATGGTATTCCTTCCACCCCACACCTCAGACCATCTTCAGCCATTAGATTTAACATTTTTTAGTCCACTAAAGAACGCTCTTTATAGAGAATATGATCTTTACTTATCCTCTTCTGGTCATCAAAAAATAACAGAATATGACGTCGCTGAATTATTAAACAGGGCATTTATGAAAGTCGCCACAATGGAGAAAGCCATTTCAGGATTTCGCACTTCAGGAATTTATCCATTAAATCCGGATAAATTTAATGAGGATGATTTTGCACCTTTCAAGCATGTACCCAACTGCACTATAGAAGATTCTAACGAGGATGGTCCTACCTTATCCAGAGCAAAGGCTAACGTCGCATTGCCTACTGAATCTGGATCAAAAGCTAATGATTCATTGCCTGACACTGGATCAAATGCTTTAGTTAATTACGAAAATCCTCAGCCAAGAACATCCAAAGAGAACTCTTTTCTAACCATGGCTCCTATACCAACCAAAAAGGTGACCAACCCAGTCATGACTGTCATGTGTACGTTAAACAACTTGAACCAAAATGAAGAGAGAAATTTAAATTTGAAAATATTAATAAAATTATGATTTAGCAAGTTGTAAATATCCCGAAATATATAATTTTGGGAGTGAGGATGACCAGGAACTTGTTGGATACGTTATGGACAGTAGATGAGCACTGATGATGGCAAATAAGCCGAAAGCGCTTTGCATTGATTAATAAAAAAGTTTTGCACGAAATACAAGTTTTTCCTTTTGAATTTTTGAATAAATTATAAATTTGTGCTATCTATTGATATTTTTTCTTTCTTAATGTAAAAATCGATAATAAATTACAGCTGGTTGAATTGTAATAATTACTAATTATCAAAGAGAATGTATTTTCTATCAATTAGTTTCTGAATTATCGTTTTTACCACTAAAATTTAAAAATCTCTAAAAACTATTAACTTTTAGTATAGGGAATGCTTACGTCAAATTAAAGTATAATTAGGATACTTTTGAACGATGACATAAAATACAGGGTGAGTCATTTAAAAAAATTGAGAAAATTATGTATTTGTGTTTTGACTCATCCTGTACAGATTTGATGCGAATTGAAAAAAGTAGTGTCTCCGGATAAAATTTGACCATGACTGAAAAATTGTGGTAGAAAAAAAAAATAGTTATCTATGGTTTCTTTTGCATGATACAGGTCATTGAATTTAATACGATTTTCATACAAAACTGATTATATCTTGCAAAATACCGTGTATAAACCAATAATAATTTATATTTTTAGAATGGGAAAAGCGAGGGCAATTCAAATATAAAATTAAATACAGGGTGGTCCATTAAAAAGAACATATATTTCAAACCAAAATCCCATATGGTGTCATAGCTTGGCTACAACACTGAAGGTTTACAAGACGTGGATTTAAATTGCCCTAGCAAAGGCAGCAGCTGGAAAGAAATAGTTTTCAAATTCGGGAAAGAAAGGATCTCTTGACTGTTTTACAGTTTAGCTTTATTTTTATACCAATCACAGATAGTTTTAAAAACGATTTTTTATTGAAAAATAAAGTATAATATTAATAAAAATAATAATATTAATAACATTTTCAACACTACAAGGAAAACACTGAAAAAAAATCAAAATATGGTTTATGTATTTCTTCCACTTCGCCCAGTATTCTGGGATTAACAATAAAGTTTATCTTCTACTTTTAGTAACATAATATACTATTTTTATTTTCCATGCAATTTTTATTATATAAGTATTTCATTACAGTTGCAGTTCATTTTCTGGTTGCTTGGAATATCCAAAATTCACTGACGTATATGACAACCGTAAGCACCACTGTGTTACCAACCTTTTTATCTTCTCACTATAATTCCTATTTCACTCCTTCATATTGTGGTGCGTCCTAAATATCCATAATATGCTGTTATCTTGTTTATGACTCTTTTGTTCTCTACCAGTAAGTCTATATTGTTTGACAATTAGCATCACTTTTTCCTTATTCCTGTTCTTTGAATTTGAATTTTTTAACCAGTCTTCATCTATTTGCTTATTATTCGTACTTGAATTACATTAACTGGAGAGTCGACAGCTGTCAAAGGTTTTCAGATGTTTTTGACATGATCCACAAGGAGCCAACTGGGTTTTCTTTGCTCTTTACCAATTATAAGAATATTAAACTAATGTAACGAAGCTTTATTAAACAAAATCTCGGCAGACTTTTTGGTACTACCCTCATACATTTGGGTTGATTTTTTAAGGGTCGTACAGACAAAATTAAAAAAATAATAAATTGGGAGGTTTTCTAATGAACTTCTCGGATAAAAATTGGGACATTTGGTTCACGTCTAGATTATGGACGTTACGTAGATGCTTTAAAAGGTGAATTTTTTGATAAGCGCTGTATTGGCAATCCGGACATTTAAAGGATGGTTCTTTGCCACAATCGTATTTAAAATGGCGTTTCCGCGCCTTCTCTGACTTGTATTTTTTCCCACAGGAGGTGCAAGAAAATCCAGCTGAAAATTAAAAATATCAATAATAAAATAGTGACATATCACACAAATAATTAAGTACAACAATAATTTATAGAAAATAAAGTACGTTAATTGCTGTTAGAAGCACAAAATAACAGACATTGGGGTTTATTCTGTAACAATTCCTTTATATTTAACGGCCTTTAAAAATATTTTATTCTTTACTTCTGTCATTATTTAAACGGATCTTTAAAATACATAAGAGGACTATCTTAAAGAAATCTGTTTGAATAATGACAGAAGTAAATTAACGAATACGAACATATGTTTAAAGGCCGACAATATTTTTAAAGGCCGTTAAATATAAAAGAATTTTTACAGAATAGACCCCATTGTGTTTAAAATTAGTCACATAATGCAAATAAATTATTCTTAATAAAAATTTTGCCTTCTAATAAAAAAAAAATACTAAAATATTCAAATTTGATAATGCATATCAGAAACATCAATAATTTATTTAATAAAGAACAATCAAATTATTCAGGGTAAATTGATATGACAGTATATTTTTCTATATTTATTTAATTACAATATTCTACAGGGTGTTCTCCATAAAAAATAAGATAAAAAAAGATATAACAATAATAATAGTAATAAAATAAAAAACATTTGGAATACCTATATTTCCAAAGAGACAACTTTTCAGTACATTATGAAAAACTTTTATATATAATATATAATTCAATATCTGTTGCGGTATTAGCCAAAAAAGTAGTTGTTTTCCTAAGGCTACGTGATTTATTTTATATTATTTTATTTTATTTTACGTCTTGGCCACATTTAGGTTGGAATTATTTTTCCTTTTTTAAAATTGTCTGCCTGACTATTGGTTTAATCTAGTTTGCAAACTGGATACTTCTAGCGAGCTTTGATTTTGCTTACTAACTGCAGATGGCGATACCTTTTTTACTCGAAGCCTACCTACCTCCTCTCAACCACCTTCATTATATACGAATGAAAGTATTTCATTCCATTAGAGACTGAAGTCGAAACTGTCTATTTCTTGCTGACGAAACTTAACGAAACCTAATAAGGAAAAAACCGGTCCAAGCACGATACACATACTGAAGGTATGCTTCGATTCAAAATTCGTCCAAACCGCGCATGACGTAATGCGAGACGAACTTTCAAGTTGTTTTGACATTTTTCGATTGAATAGTGTAAAACAATTTATTAATTTATTTGTTTTTGTGTTAGTAGTGACTATATGTTCCTATATATAACAGGGAAGAACTAAATTAATGTTTAAAATGCCGGGCTGCGCGGTGGAGATATTTCCAAATGCCACAAAATATGGGTAAATTCTTATCGAAGAAAGGACAAGCTTAATTGAAGTTGCCCTATTCACTTTGAGGAAAGTAGTAGTGAGATTCCTCCTGAACATAGACGCAAGAAAAGGAAACTGAATTCCACTAGGTACACGGGCCTCATTAAGCTAAGAAAATAAATCGGTATTTAAAAATTTTTGCAGATAAAACAGTAGTTTTCTGTCCCAATAAAACGATTCTTTTGAAGTAATGCCATGCATGAGCAAGACAAGAACATATATAAGAATGAGATAAATGAACAGAAAATTGGTTTTGAGTATTTTCAAAGTAAACTTGACAAAAAATGTTTAAATTTACCAAATAAAAAGAAATTTTTTTTATAAATAAATAATTTGTTTCTACACACTTATTTTTATTTAACATAATAAGAAAAAAGATTACAAGAGAACTACCACGCCTAGAAAGTACAAATTTGAGTCAAAATTATATTTTTAGTCTATTATTTTACTTATCTTATGGCCAAGTTATGGATTTTGTCACAAAATACCTATATTTTATGAGAAAAAATAATATTTTTATTAGTATTATTTACCTTAAACCTTTATATTTGTAAATAAATATATTACAAAATAACCAATAAAGCTTAAAGTAACTGAATGAAATCTAAAATGGGCAAAATCGAATTTTAAACACTATCTCATATTTAATGCTTATAATTCTATGTCCCACGTGACGTCACCGTCAGTCAGCCGCATGCGTAGGAACATACCGTTAGTCTGTGTATCGTGGGTCCAAGAATAATTCTCATAAGTAAGCAAAATCAAAGTTGAAACTAGATTTCTATCACTGCTGTCTTTCTTTTGGATATAATACAATAGCTGTTGCGGTATTAGCCAAAGAAGTAGTTGTTTTTCGAAGGAAAACATTGGTTTATAATTTTTGTATTATGAAAGCAAAAAAGGATAGTCCCTCCTGCCTCAATTCTAAACCCGAAAATAATATTAAAAAAGAGACACTAACAAATTTCATAAAAAAAAAATCAACAAAATTATACAATATTGCAATTAACAATGATTAAATACAACCTAGTGACTAGGCAAAAACACCTTTTTAATGTAATTTTTTTTTATTGCTGATGCCTAACCGTCTAGACTACAAAATAAGAATACTTTGCGCCCAGAAAAAGGAAAGAAAATAAAAATTATCCTCTATGTAAATTTTGGAATATTATTGTCTACATTAAAATTTAACAATTGTTTAAAATCAATAAACATTCATTGTTTTTAGATTATTCAAGGTATAATTCTAATAAAATATTACTATATCATCCGCAAATCCAATTAAATCACCGCAGCTTTGAACTGAAAAAATACAATTTGTTTAGGTAATGAAGAACTGGCCCAAAAACAGTACCTCGAAGAACTCCATACTTTAGATTTTGCGATACTGGTTCCAAGATGTATTCTCAGAGTTCAATACCAATTTAACTCGCAACTACCAAAAAACCCATAAAAATATAGGGAATAAAATAGAAATAAGAGTACCTATTTATTTTTTGTTACATATTACATATTTTTCAATTTATGTTTATAAGTTAGATGCATTTTGAGGCTGCATTTGTGTTTCGTTTCATAACGACAGTACAAACACTTGAAACTTGGAAGTTTTTCGCATTCGTATTTTTTGTGTCTCAATAACGAACAATTTTGCCTGTAAGTCTTGCCGCAAGTCGTACATTCAAAGCCTAAAAAACATATAAGAAAAACATTAAAACAAAAATCATTACCTTTATTCATGCAAAAAACACTTTATTTACTTCTAAATTAACATTTAAATGGATATTTTCTGAACTGACTTTCTAAAATCATTTTTAAAAAGATACAACTCTTTTATTTTTTATCTTGCAGTAGTAACATTGAAATGCCAATATCACAGTTTTTTTATACTCAATTTATCAGAATTCAAATATTTTTCGAGATATTTTCGACCCTCTGTACACGAAATAAGTAAAACATTAACAAAAGTTTCATTTTTTTATTATCAATTTCAACATACATAAAGAAGAGTCTTTGACGTAGAGCAACGTGTCGTCAGTGGATACAACCAGTTTATGTTTGTGAATTAAATGACTTCTTAGATTACCTTTGGACGAACAGCTGTGGTTGCACAACTTACAACCCAGTCTGATTTTGTTCAAACATCGAAACTGCATGTGGTACTTCATGTTACCTTTTGAGCTGTAGCGCTTTCCACAAGTATGACAAGCGAATTCTGCTTGACCTGAAAAATGACAAAAACTGATGTAGGCATACCAACTTAAGGAGTATTTAATTGACTTTAGAGCAAAGCATGCAAGGGTTTCGTAGTACCCCACTTTTAAAGATTGTTTTTGACTTAAATCTGTGCTCCTTTGGAGACACTTTTTTAAAAATTAAATCTGTTTTTTCTATTTTCTCATTTTTTTTTTAGAAAAAAATTAAATTGAAATTTTAAAAAGTAGTTCCAGATGAGCATAGATTTAACTTTTACCTACAGGTAAATATTTTTTTTTAAAACAGTCAAAAATAAACTTTAAAAGTTGGGTACACGAAACCCTTACATTGCAAGATTTTTCATGTTGAAAGTGGCGCCTCTGTTAGATTTTTAAGAAAATAATATTTGTGAATGAAAACAATTTACAATATATTTTACGAGGGGTAAATAAATTTTACGTATTTGTACACCTTATTATTTTACGTAAATCATTTCTGTGATACTAAGATCGACATATATAATATGCAAGGATTTCATAGCACACCAATTTTACGGATTATTTTTAATTTTTACTGCAAGAAAAATTATATAAGTACAGGTAAAGCCTCAACCTGTAATCCTCTGGAGTCACTTTCTGAAAATTTGATACGGTTCCTTTCGAAAAAAAAAAAAAAAAAATCTAAAAAGACGTCTTTCTAACGAAAAGAAATAAAAATGTTAAAAAGTGCTAGAAGCGAACAATTTATTTAGTTTTTGCCTACAGGAGTATTTATTTTTCTTACTATAAAATTGAAAAAAAAAAAAATTTAAAAGCTTTTTCGTCTAGAGCATGACATCAACAAAATATATGTATTTTTCTACTATTTACAAGTGATTTACAAGTAATATAAATTTATTTTGATTTATGTTTGTACACTTTGTTATTTTTTACACACAGTAATTTCGCTCAATTATTTTACATTTAATTTAATATTTATTAAAAATATATCCGAAATTAAAAGTTACACAGTGAGACATGATTTATAAATGTTTTTGTTTAACTTTTATATCGCACGGAAGTTTCTTTTTCAATAAATTAATATTTAAAAATCTTTAATTTGTTAAAGTAATGTATATTTTTTCGATCTAAGTAAATCATTTTCTAAAAAGTTTGCCAATGTCTGTAACTGAGAAAACAAAAACGATTGAGACACGAGATCAAGCTGATTGTGCATTGTGACACAATGAAAGACGAAAACGAGTCATTGTCTCAAAATTTTGAGGAATTTGTAAAAAAAACATTTTCTTTAAAAATCTCATAAAATCTGTTACAGACTAGAGTAATTATTTGTTAAAGCCACCCAATATGGTATGGATTATGAAGCCAGTGCGAAATAAGATTTGGAAATTTATTTGCAAAAAAAAGTTTTTAAATGTGGACTTTTTATTGATGCCCAATTTGATTATATTGCTGCCAGTCCGGATGGAATTTTAAAAACAAAACTATATGACTATATATATGACTTTTTGGAAAAAGGACAATACCATTAAGGAGAACCACAATTATTAATTTAAGCACAAATGTATCCAAAACGGAGGAAAATGAAATTAACCTTAACCGATCGGAAGTATCCGCAAAAAAAGATAGTGCTAGTATTGTTAAAATAAATGCATCTGAGGCAGTTGAAAAATGCAATGATGCAAATAATTGGAACGTCGTCAACCGACGAAGAAAACGTAATATTGTTGTAGGAAATAATACTACCGAAATTGTGAAAGGCGTACCTAAACATGTAAGCCTACATGTTTACAGAACTAATATCGACACTACCAATAATGGCCTAGAATCTATTCTCATTAAAAAATTTCCGGAAGTTAAATGTGAAAAATTAAATTCGCTACATCCTGAAATTTTCTTTTAAAGTTACAATGTTGGCAAGTAATTTTAGAAATGCTATGAATCCTGAATTATGGCCTCTAGGAGCTTGCATTTGTCGTTTTTTAAAGAGGCGCAGGAATTCGGTCCACAATACACCTTAATGTTTGAACCAAACCTGCTTCTACTTAATATAGCAACTGTAAACGAAACGAAGGTTAACTTTCTCGATGATGATCTATATCAATATTCGATCCCAATTATTTGTTTAGTTGAAACTGGAGTTCAAAATTTTTTTTTGGAATCCCTTCACCTAAGAGGTTACACCTTGGCATCGTCATATTGTCGACCAACTACGAAATGTGGTGGCACTGGTATTTGGCTGAATTTTTATTAATTTTTATTAATATTTATTAATTTTTATTAATTTTTATTAAATTTTATTAATTTATTTTTATTAATTTTTATTAATTTTTATTAATTTTTATTAATTTTTATTAATTTTTATTATTTTTATTAATTTTTATTAATTTTTACTAATTTTTATCAATTTATTTTTATTATTTTTATTAATTTTTATTAATTTTTACTAATTTTTATTAATTTTTATTTATTTTTATTTATTTTTATTTATTTTTATTAATTTTTATTTTTTTTTATTTATTTTTTTTATTTATTTATATTTGTTTTTATTTATTTTTATTTGTTTTCATTTATTTTTCTTGATTTTTACGATACACCCCATTTCCCTTTCCTTAATATGTGAAAATCCAAAAATCTTGAAATACGTCATTATTTACTTGATGAGTGGCTACAATTCCAATTTTCAAGGTCCTATTTTTAAAAACCAAAAGTCTTATTTAAACTTTCGCTTCCCGTTTCCCTCCTTAATGTGTAAAAATCTAAATACCCTGAAACATGTCTATTTATTTATTATGAGTACCTACAATTTCAATTTTCAAGTTCCTAGCTTTGAAAAATCGATAGCCCCATACAAACTTTCACACCCTTACCTTTCCCCTATGTTCCCATTTTTCTTCTTTTCCTATTTCCACTCTTTCCCCCCCATTCGACTATTTCCCCCATTTCCCCTCTTTTCTCCATTTCCCCTCTTAAAATATGAAAATCCAAAAACATCTAACACACCATTATTTATTTGTGATGAGTAGCTATAATTCCAATTTTCAAGTTTCTTCCTATCTATAGTCAGAATAACGAAAGATTGACTGTCCCCACTATACGTACTTAACATACAATTCCCTTACCCTCACTTTGAGAATTTGAGGGCTTTTTAAAGTCATTCTTTCGTTATGCCGACTATAGGGTGAGATTACAGAACGTCTGCAACTTTGCATCTGCAACTTTGCATCTGCAACTTTGCATCTGCAACTTTGCAAATATGGCGGACTTAACAAATGTAAGTATTCCAAAAAATATCTGCAAATTCGCAATATTTATTGTGGTTTATTACCCCCAACAACACTAAACCCAAATTTGGAATACGAAAACTTGATACTTGCATGTGTAAGTCAGTCATATTTGCAGATTTTCAAAGTTGCCGCCATATTTGCAGATCTGCAAAGTTGCAGACGTTCTGTAATCTCACTCTATTATATTACATTTTGTGACTGCAATTTTGTCGCGGTCGCGATTCACTTTTGTTGAGTTTCGGAACGCGACATTAGATCCTACAACGCGCACGCAAATACTATTTTGATAGATATGATTGAATTTGAACTTTGTGCAGCGGTAATAAGATCTATAATTGACTCTTAAACGTTTGTATGAGAAATAGAAAAGGGCTGTTTTTATGGTTTTTCCGGCAATTATTCTAATTTTTCTCACCTTTTAAACCTTCCCTATACCTCCAAGAACATTTCAAGACCAAGATAAGATAAATCCGTTCAGCCGTTCTCGAGTTTTAGCGAGACTAACGAACAGCAATTCTTTTATATATATAGATTGTGCTATAGATCTCCTAGTGAAGATGTTAATGTTTTTATAGAAAATTTGAATTGTGTAATGGAACATTTGCATAAACCAAATATTAATTTTATCGTTTGTGGTGATTTTAATTTTGACGTGTATAAAAATACAAATTTTACCTTATTAAGTAATCGTATGTCTGGATTCAATCTTGTACCTATTGTAAAATGGCCTACTCGAGTGACGGATACTACCTGTACTATTGTTGACAAAATTTTTGTTAGTTCGGACGAGAAAAGCACTTGCTGTGTTGTCGATAATCAATTTTCTGACCATAGAACGGTTATGGTTGAAATATCGTCACTGTGTACAAATTTTTCAATCAAATACAAAATATTGACGAGATTTCTTTATCAAATTTACGATTTTGATGAAGCATTTAATTAATTACTTTTACAATACTTTTTTATTCAATTTTAAATCAGCTTTTCCACTTCGCAAATACTGTATGGGTAGCAATAGTAGAAAATGGGTTGAACAGGATGTGATTTCTTCGAGTGAAAATTTAAAATATTTATTTTTCCTAAAGAAATCAAATCTTTGTTCATCTTTTATTTACAATGAAGCCAAAAAAATGCATAAAAGTTTAATGACTTCTAAAAAAAATCTTTTTATCAAAATCGTATTAACTCTTCTGATAACATTACTCGAGCGTTCTGGAATGTAGTCAAGGAACTTTCTAATTAAACAAGAAAAAATAAAAATATAATTATTCAGGGTAACAGCGGTGTTATAGACGCTCCTGAAAATGTTGTAAAAGAGTTTAATAATGTTTTTGTCAATGAGCCGGTTAACATAGTATAAAATATACCTTCAGTACTTACTATTGAACCATGCATGGATTTTAGTACAAACAGTCTTTTTCTTTTTCCCTTCAGTGAAGATGAATTGTGCATGCTGCTTAATAAAAAAATGAAAAACAAAAAATCGGCAGGGAGTGACGAGGTTCCTTGTTTCCTCATAAAAATAGTCCTTACTTTAATTATATCTCCAATTACTTTTCTAATAAATAAATCGTTGTGCAGGGTAGTTTTCCGCAAATTATTAAAACAGGTAAAGTGATTCCTGTCTTTAAGAAAAATGATCCAAATAATATTAACAATTACAGACCAGTTACGATATCAAATAGCTTTTCTAAAATATTTTAGTATGCATTCCTCGACAGATTAATGTCATTTTTAAATAATTTTCAGGTTCTCAGTAGTAACCAACATGGTTTTAGATCTTCTATCTCTACTACCACTGCTTTGTTTTCCTTTTACGAAAAAATTATTGAACACGTTGATAAGGGCGAATGCCCTGCTGTTATTTTTTGTGACCTCAGCAGAGCATTTGACTGTGTAAATCACGATATTTTATTGTCTAGATTAGAGAACATAGGAGTAAGAGGCAGGCCTTATTGTATCCATCAAATCCACCAGTAAAGATCAATGCAAAAATTTTAATTCAGATCACTTGTCAGTTCCGATAGGTGTGCCACAGGGATCAATATTCCAAAGTCATTGGATGAAGACTTGAAAATTTTGTTGAAAATAGACTTTATATTTAAAATGACAAAATGATATATTTATTTCTATATTGTTTTAAAACAAGCATTATTTAAATCAAAGAAATACGTATTAGAAAAATACTATGGTATTGCTAAGAGAAATTTCAGCCAATGTTTTTATATTGGATTTTTATTACCCATTGCTTTTATAGCTATTTATTCTACACTTCAAAAAGGAGTCCCAACGTGAACCATTTCAATTCTTACAAGTAAAGAAAGATTTTTATCTACAACTGTCATTATATGGATGTATTATATGCGTATCTAAGGCAACATAAAGCAATCCATATATCACTATAGTGAGAATATATTCATATTATACGATTTTTGTCAATTATACCCCACTAGAATTAAAAATCATTAGATCTAGTATACGTTTGACAAGTTAGTTGACAGCATGTTGACAGATAATCGTTGTTCCCGATTCTTTTTTGAAATTAAACTTAAAATAATAAGCCCGTTTTAAGTGTTTATCAATTAAAAAGATGGAAGACGATGATTACATGGAACTAACACCTCCTGAAATCCGCGACGCTGCTGAAGTGGCGTCGTTGGAATTATTACCTGAAATATCGAGGAAAAATTATGAGATTGCATACAACAAATTTATGTCGTGGAAACAAACAAAAAAGGTATCCTCTTTTTCCGAAGACACTGTGCTTGTATATTTTATGGAAATTTCTAGTAAATACAAATCGTCTACTTTATGGACAAACTATTCCATGCTAAAAAGCATGTTAAACATCAAGCACAATGTCGACATTGATAAATATCCGAGATTACGTGCTTTTTGAAAAGACGATCCGAAAATTACGAACCTAAGAAATCTGAAGCTCTGACTGGTGAACAAATTGAGAGGTTTATAAAGGAAGCCCCAGATTTGAAATATCTTAGAACAAAGGTAAAAACTCGAATCGAAAATCAAAATTCTTTAACTTAATTTACACATTTTTTTAAGGTTGCCGTGATTATGGGGGTCATGGGTGCTTGCCGATCCTGTGAATTAAAGAATATGAAAATTGAGGATTTAAGATGTTTTGAGGGATGTTTTCAAGTAAACGTGCCACACACAAAAACCAAAGTCCCAAGGAATTTCACAATTGTGGATAATTTTTTTAAAATCGTTAAAAAATATATAGACATCCGGCCCGAAAATGCACCACAAGATTTTTTCTCAATTTCCAAAAAGGAAAGTGTACAAAACAAGTGATAGGAATAAACAAGTTTAGCGCAATGGGAAAGCAAATTGCTACGTTTTTACAATTACCAAACCCTGAGAGATATACTGGCCATTGCCTCAGGCGTTCATCTGCAACATTGGTTGCTGATTCTGGAGCTTCAATGACAACATTAAAACGTCATGGGGGCTGGTAATCCGCCTCCACAGCAGAAGAGTACATCGCCAATTCAAAAAAGAACAAAATAGAAACAGCTCAAACAATTTTAAGTCAAATCAATAATGAAAATTGTGTTGGTCTTAATAATCCATCATCTTCTGACAGTTATCGTCATGATTCTGTACTCATCAATAGCAACACTAATTTTTCTTTAAAAAACAATAATCTCAATGATATTACCGGAGCTATTAATATTTCAAATTGTAATGTTACTATTAATTACATCAATAAATAACTTTAAACGAGTTCCTGTATAAATTGGCGTTTTATTTCACACGGTGGCTTAAATACTCCTCATTTGAAAGGTCTTTTAATTGTGAACAATCTTGTCAATTCTATTTATAACAACTTCAAAGAATTTTTTCTAAAAATTCCCTTTTCGTTTTCGATAAGCCCCCGTATTCAGTTGTACATAAAGTATAGTATTCAATTCGTGTATAATGGACCATACTACACTCGAATATTTACAACACTCGTGTAATATGGTCAACATTATAGACTTATTGAATAATATACTATTAAAATTAAAGTTATTTTAAATGAGGTGAAAAAATGTGACTAATATTATTTTTATTATAAAAAAAACATAAACCTAAGAAAAAATAACACATACAAATAAAAATTTTGATTTTGGACTTTTCGATTGTGTGGTTTATTTTTTAAATTTTAGTTTTTAGTGGCTTGCCAAAGAAACCAGAAGGCACATTTTTTATTTTTCTTCTTGTCCCATGTTTCTGTTTGGTGAACGTTTATTTAACTTTCCAAATCCTGTGACGCAGTCCCAACGTAAACCAGTTCAATTTTAACAGGGAATATATTAGATAGATTTTTTATTTTAAATGAAGTGAAAAATTGTTTAATATATTTTTATTATTTAATAAACTTAAACTTAAGAAAAAAGTAACATAAAAAAAATAACAATGTTGATTCTAAACTTCTCGATTGCTTTGTTTATTTTGCAAATTATACTTTTTTGTGGCTTACCAAAAAAAATAAAAATTTTAAAACAAACTATTAGGCACATTTTGTACTTTTCGTTTTGTTCCATGATTGTGTTTGATGAACATGTGGCTCATAAGCGGCGGTTTTTGTTTAGACATGTAGGGACAGTAGGGACATCTGAACGTCGGTGGCTTTTGACACTCGTATTTTTTGTGACGCCATAGAGAACAGTTCTGTCTGTAACTTTTCCCGCAGGTTGAACAAATGAAACCTAAAATATACGTCAAAAAATAAGAAACAAAACAAATAAAAATTAGAATATGTCAAATCAATTTATTTTGCTTGTATAATGACGAAAAAAAAAACTATGATAATGTTGGATATTTTATTACTTGTTATACATAAAAATTATTTTATTTTTAGGTTTACAAATTAATTGAATAAAAATTTCACAAATGTTTTATTCATTTTGATATTCAGCAACCCCAATGTGGTAAACTATCTTAAAATTGGCGCAGTCGGTAGGATACACATAGCAACAAAAATACAATTAAAGTTACAAATATTATTGATCTAACTTGTGTGAATGGAACGAATAGCCCTAAATATCAGAATAAATGCCTCAAGATGAAAGTTATAATATGAAATGTAAAATAATATTTAAACAAATCAGAATATTTTAGCGTCTTCTATTCTTTCCAATACTGTTGGACCTCTGACGAAGATACCGGTAATTTATGTTTGAAAAACAAATGACTTTGCAAATTTCCTTTTGTGTTGCATCTGTGATCGCATAGTGTGCAGCCGAACCTTCTTTTGTTCAAGCATCGGAACACCAAGTGGTACTTCAGGGAACTTTTCATCGAGTATCGTCTTCCACATATACGGCATTCGTAGCGGCCGAAGTCTGAAAAAAAAAATTACTTCAAACATGTTTAATAAAGTAAGTAAAAATACAAGATCTATAGTACTTATCATATGAAGCAAGTAAATATACAAAATGATTTAGTAATTATTTTTTCCTTAGTAAACGATTTAGAGACTGCACATGAGTTGACCTGCCTCTACCTGATGCTGGAACTGCTTACATAGCAAAAAACAACCGAAAAGGAATTATACGTATCCTAAAGAGTCTGAAGTTGCATGTAGACTTTAAAAATAGTATTAACACACTTGGAAAAAGGTTTTGATTTAAAATATTCAACAGCGACAGTAAAAACCGTTATTTTAAACGTTATTACCCAACGAGAATCTATGACAAGATGTAAATACGCTGCCTTTGGTTTAAATGCCTCTTAGCAACACCATAGTATTTTTCGAAAACAAATTTCTTTGATTCAAACAAATTCGATGCTTGTTTGAAAACAATGTAGATTTAAAAACTGTCAAATTTAGTTCTTTGTGCTTTCACGGACGTGATTAAACAAGAGCGGTATTTACATAAATTGTGGAGCTTGTCCTGAATCCTACGTAGGAAGAACTGTTTTAAATCCATATGAATAAGGATTATAGACAATTTTGGCTAAATCTGATTCTGAATTCGGTTTCCCATGAAATTAAATATTTCCTGAAATGAATAATCTTGAAAATTGTATTAATTTTGATAAAAAAAGTAGACCGTTTGAAAAATAATTTTTTTTTGGAAAGAAGATCTCGCCTCAAAAAATTGTTTGTCTAACTTCTAAAGGAAAAAATCGCACAAACTTTTAGAAGCCATTTTCTTTCTTTTCATGACATTCTAAGGTATTCCACGACCTGAAATGTCATAATTAGTCAACCGTTTGGAAAATAATTTTTTTTTCGGAAAGAAGATTTCGCCTCGAAAATTTGAAAGTCCAATTTCTAAAGGAAAAATCGCACAAAGTTTTAGAGGATATTTTCTTTTTTTTTTTTCGTGACATTCTAAGGTATTCCACGACCTGAAATGTCATAATTAGTCGACCGTTTTTACATAATAAATTTTTAAATTAAATCCAAAATGAACAAATAAAAATGGGATGAAGATAAAAATTTAAAATCCATGGCAACAAGGTCCAAAGTGACTTGGTAATTAGCTTCTGAAAATCGACAATTAGCCCACTGGTTCTAAATCAAACAACACTGCGTAATCAGTTTAATTTATTTCAACAAAATTCAATCAATTGACATTAGAAACTATTTTCCTTCGTAAAATTTAGAACTTCCGCTGTCTGCAATTTGAGATCGTGCATTTTCTTTAAATGATTTTTTAAATTGTCCTTCGAGTTGAACTTTTTGTCGCAGAGTTTACAACAAAACCTAAATTTGTTAATGCAACGGAAATTTCGATGAAAGTTCCGATTGCTGATCGACGCGAAGCGCTTGTTGCATATTTCGCAGAAAAACGAAGCTAAAAATTAAGAATTTTTTTAGTAAACGGTTCTTGTGTCCCATTAGACATATTTGACTTTGTGTTATGGACACGCAAAACGTTTCAGATTAAAGATAAAAAATATATAATTTAAAATGTTGAAGTCTAACTGGAATTTTATACGATTTGATTTGAAAAAACACATAGATGGATATTTCCTTTATCAGACGTTTAAACCTTAAAAGTTATCAATGCTAAAGTCAGGAATATGCCTAAAGAGTCTAACCCCCTTCTACGACCGACATCTATTTTCAGAAAGTAAGAATTTAGCAATTGCTTCAATTCTTGAGGCTCGAAAGACCACATTCTCAAAACTGAAAATTTTGCACATTCGTGGTTTTGGCATTGTACCAATGATATATTTTTATTTTGTTCATTTGCTCTTAAAACACTCGAAAATAAATTCTTACCTAATTTGGAGTACGATAACCCGTGTCGACTTGCATAGAATCAAGTTAATACAAGTTGCGCGGAAGTAGCGGTGGGTACTCGCGGTATTTGTCATTTGTTCTCAATTATTCTCGTGCATAAGACGTATTGTTTTGCATTTAGAAGATGTCAGTTGAACTTCCAAAAAAAAAACAAGATGTTTACAAGTGCCGTGAGGTAAACTTTCAAAATAATTTAGATAATTTATTCGATATAGCACACGCTGATGCTTTGGAACAGATGAAAAATCGAAGAAGATAAAATATTTTTACAAAAACAAAGAGAACCAGGGCGTCCAGGTTGTTTAGTGGATGTAGACAAAAAGTTAGCCGATAAAGAAGAAAGGGTAAGACAAAGAAAATTAAAAGAAGAGAAACAAGACATGAGCAAATATGTTTCAGGAGTTTACCGTCATCTCTTACAACACAAGATTTTATACAAAAGCAAGGACATCACGATCAACCTACCATCTCTGATGAAAGCCTTGAGAAACCCTTGTCATCCACTTCTCAAACGGTAGTAATTCTGGAGCTATTACAAAAAGAGGAAGGAAAGACTTTGTTACGCCTAAGTTATTTGCAGCTTTAGATAGATGTCAATTAAGCATAAGGGATTCTGTTTACATACTTCAGGCTGTAGTAGAAGCATGATGATTACCCGATAAACAAATCGTCCATTCAACAAATTCGCACAAATAGTAGAAAAGAGCGGGATCTATAAAATCAAATTTTTAGAATAAATGGTTCTAAAGAAGAAGGCCTACCAATTCTAATTTCATTTGGAGAAAAAAAAACTTCTGACTGTGCCCAAACTGGAGAGCCCTTCCGGCCTAGATCAAGCTAAAGCTGTGTTAAAAGCACTTTATGACTGGAACCTCGATGACAAAGTACAAATAATGTGCTGTGACACAACTGCGTTTAATACAGGACGATTGAAAGGAGCTTGTATACTTTTGGAACAAAAACTAGACAGGGAATTAGTACTCTTTGCTTGCCGCCATCACGTTTACGAACTGGTTTTAAAATGTGTGTTCGAAACAAAAATCCACCAAATCACAAGTAGCCCTGATATCACGATGCTCAAAAAGTTTAGAGTCATCTAGAAAACTATTAATCCTCCTGCTATTGAAACCTTCACTGATATCGTCACACAACATTTTTGTTATACAACAATACAAGAATTATTGACATTTTATAATTAAGAATTGGAAAAAAACATTGTATGTGAAGATTATCGGGAACTGATTGAACTATCAATTCTTTTCTTAGGAGGAGATAATGAGAAAAAAATTAAAATCAGACCTCCTGGAGCGATGCCTCAAGCTTGGTGGATGGCTAGAGCTATTTACTTTTTAAAAATATGTTTGTTGCAATCTCAGTTCAAAATTAGCGCCAAGGATAAACGATCACTTCAAGACTTTCGTTTATTTATTGCGGTTATGTATGTGAAACCATGGCTTCAATGTAATCTGGCGGTGAAGGCATCAAATCAAGATTTGTGCTTTTTAAAAAGGCTTAAGCAATATGAATCTGTTGACAAGTTAATCTCCAAAGCAGCCCTGAGCAAGTTTAGTCAACTTGGTACTTGTCAGAAGAAATTGCCGTTCTATCACTCTTTGATGATGAAGTTGATGAACAAACCAAGGAAAATATTGTACTGAACTTACAAAGAGAGAGTTTGTATGATTCTGGAAAGAGATACATTCCATCGAAAGAAGATATGTCTAATTATTTGTATGGTAAGTAGGAATACATTTATTTTTCACTAAACTGATAATCATACTGCCTTATTTATTGTTGCAGGAAAATCATTAAGGGATTTTGTGTATATCAAGAGTAAAACTTTATTTTCTCGATTAAAAATTGATGAGAACTTCCTCCAGAAACTTGTTTCTACGTGAGACACAGATGTTGCCTATTTACGGACAAAAAGAAAAGTGTTTTCCTTAAGAACAGTTAATGATACAGCTGAAAGAGCTGTGAAACTTATGCAAAATTTTCATAGTTTGATCACTGTAAACGTAAAACAAAAGCAATTTTTCCTACGCTGTGTACAAGCACATAGAAATCTGTCAAAAAGAGACCCTCAAAAGAAATTATCCTTCCTGATCTGTAATTTTATCTTCTTTTAATAAATAAGTACCTAATCTTTTCAACTATAATTTTTATACAATACATATTTCAATTGATTTAGCTGCATAACGGAAAGGGTTAAAAACAGCAATTTTCAAAATTTTCAGAGCCCTGTCGGCACGGGTTAATGTAGACGTAGACTATGTTGTTATTCTAACATAAAAATACAATAATATATAGACACTTTAATGAATAATTTGCTTTTTTTCAACGGAGCCATTGCTGCAGCCATCGTCTACTTTTGTTGTACACTAATATATCAGCAAGGGTGTCATCGGCTTCAACTGCTAAAGTTATCTCGCCTCGTGTTCTGTGTAGGCTTTGTTACTGTTTCCTAGCGCCACTTTAGGAACAGCACCGTTAATTAGAACCCAACAGTGAATGGTCGAGTGGGGAATCCTACCAAGGCCTCAGAATTAATTTTTAATAATTAAATTAAATAAAAAAATCCCGGCCAACGGTGAGATTCGAACCTGGGACCATTGGATCCGCGGGCAGAGACTCTACCACTGAGTCACCCACCCCCTAAGGGTGATTAATAATAAAAACCACAATAATCATTGTTATTTAAAGAAAAGGCGATATTGAAAAAAAAACTGCTTTTTACAAAAAAAACGCTTTAATAAAATATATCACACAATCGCAGCATCTTTATCATTTTTCGAATAAAGCATAACTTCCGAACACGAAAGGACCATACGGTGTACAACAAGCAAGTGTCTTTTTAAACTATCCTTGGTATTGAATTTCCTTTCGCAAAGCTTACAACAAAAACTTTGTTTATTTCGGCATCTAAAAAGCTGGTGATAGTTTCGATTGCTGGAAGTCGTATACATTTTTCCACATATACTGCACTGATAATTCCCTAAAAAAACAATAAATTTAAACTAAAAGAAACATATATTTAGAAAAGAATTTTTATATGGAAAACGCTTTCCGCATTAAGCCATCCATCATAAGTGCTTATCTACAATATAGTTAATTGTGACTGTGTAAGTAAATGTGATAAAAAGTGCCAATAGTTCCATAACAACAAAAAACCCAGTAATCATACAAACTCCCAAAACTATATGGTGTGATAAAAAATGTTCTGACATGGTTTTAAAAAGAAAATTAGCTTTTCATCAATATAACAATAGATCTAAATGGAATAACTACTTAAATTATAAAAAAATAAATGCCGAAACCAAGCTACTTCTTAAAACTAAAAGTTGGAGAGAGTTTTTGAACAACTTGAATAAAAACACGCCCTTGACAAAAATTTGAATTTCGTTAACAAAATAAATAATAAAAATACTGTAATTCGCTTACCCAAGAAATGATTGAAAAATTATTAAACCATTTCGCACCGGCTACAGCAATCAACCTTCATCACACAAATAGTCCTGAAGTTAATATTAGTAATTTTCCTAATAATAATTTTACCATAACAGAGCATTAGAATCTCATCGACGCACTGCACCGGGCAAAGATAGTGTAACCTACAGTATCCTAGAAAATCAATCAATTAATGCAAAGAGTGTTTTATTAAATCTTTATAACGAGTGGCGGTAATCCGGTGAATTTAAAAATGAACTTAAAGAAATTATCCTAATCCTAATATTAAAACCAAACAAAGATTCAAATCTTATAACATCATATAGACCCATTTCACTTATGTCTTGCACAACCAAAACATACGAAAGCTTAACTAAAGCTCGATCAGAATGGCTCTTAGAATATAATTCAAAATTACCAACCACACAATACAGATCACGCCGCGGGTCTGGAACCACTGAAGCTGTCTCTCAAAAAATGCTTATGTAGCATGCTTATTTATAGATATTAAAAACGCATATGATGCGGTTAATTTGAACACTCTTGTTGATGAACTAACCTCATTAGACATTAACACATCTGCTGCAAAAAAAGTTGTGGATATATTCAGAAATCTCAAAATATTCATTAAAGATCAATATAATAATTTACATGGATCAAGAATAGTCAATCAAGGATTACCTAAGTCCTATTTTGTTTAATGCATATACTTATAGTCTGCACAATTTCTTTGATTCTCACATTAATTGTATTCAATATGTTGAAGATTATTGTTTTTATAGCGTACTGAACAGTTATAGACAATGTATCATAATAATCATAATTGATTGTGATCATTCGTTTACAAATATCACCTGAAAAATCGACAATCGTGTTTTTCACGAGACACAGGCTGCATACTTCTCCGAATATTACTTTGTGTGGTCTTGATATACCCATTCAGAGGACATATAAATATTTAGGCGTGATCCTAGATAATAAGCTCATCTGAAGGGACCATATTAGTCATATCAAAAGTAAATGTGAGAAAGGGATAAACTTGTTGAAATGTGTAACTAAAACCAAGTAGGGAGCTGACCCTTATACCTCTCTACTCTTTTACGAAGCATATATACGTTCTATAATTGACTATGGATCTGTCTTGTATGGAGCAGCTGCAAATGTTCACCTCAAAAAAAATTGATAGAGTACAATATGCTGCTGAAAGAATATGTATAGGTGTTTTAAAATCCTCACCTATAAATATAATTTTAGCTGAAGCACAAGAACCACCCTTTGAAAAAAGAAGATCAATGCTATCCTTTAAAACTTCTAAAATAAAATTTTCAATCAGATAATTCAATAAATAAAAAATGTTTGAATTGTATATTGAAAATTTGACAAATAAATATTGAGCGAAAAAGAATTATCCACCACTTGTTGAAGCATACTCAACACTTTTATTTTAACGCGGTGCCAACTTTTAAGAAATTGTCTATTGGTTGAATTAAAATATTTGACAATAATATTCAAACCAACTGTAATAGTCCCAACGTATTGTGATCTTTTAATCAAGCTATACTCAACTCTGTAATTGTAAAATATGATAATTTCCTAAAAATATATACAGACGGTTCCAAATAGCAATCGGAACAGGATATGCTGTATATATTCCAAACAAATTTACTATAAAACAAAGGATACACGATTTTTGCGCGGTGTACTCAGCCGAAGTCTTTGCTACAGAAAGTGTCATGGAATGGTTAGTTCAAAATCCATATTATGCTGTAATAATGTCAGATTCAAAATCTGCGTTAGATATTATTAGCAGTTATACAATGTCTAACAATATGTGTAATATCAAAAAAATGCTCCATCATCTTTATAACCTCGAAAATTAATTTAAGTTTGTTTGTGATAAAGGTCATTCTCGAATTACAGGTAATAATAAAGTTGATATTTTGGTAACAGAAGCGACAAATCTTTCCAATATAGTAGATAAAATTAATTATATGGATACGGTAAAAAAATCCGTAAAACTTGGAATCTAAAATGGAATGAATTTGTGCTAAACTCTAATAACCATTATACACTTATATCCACCCTACTTTACCCATAAAAATTCCACATACACGCGAGTTTAATGTAAGTAGATCTTACTCGGTTACCATCACAAGATTAAAATTGAACCATGGAAAATGTCCGGCTTACTTATATCGAATAGGCATTGTGAATACAAACCTATGCTCCTGTGATAATGAGACAGATGCGGACCTAAATCATATTTTTTTCGCCTGCTCAAATCATCAGCAACACTGTTCCGATCTAATCCTAGAATAACGTAACAAAAACATACAATATCCCATAAATTTAATTCATATTTGATTTATTAGTAAGTTTTCTACGAATCAAATAATTAGATATATAATATTAATTTAAATTATTTCAAATTTTCTTTATTTCAATTTTGATATTTTATTACTTATCTGTGGCAAATGGATATAATTACCAAAGCCAAAACCAAAAATAAAAGTTAACAAAAATTAAATACGATTACACCTCGATTCAGGCTTCCGCGATGCCATTTTTGATTCTTTTATTAGAGCCAACGACGGCATAATGACATGAATTCAATCCTTGCAGGTTTTTATACATAGAAAATCATAAATATCATGTTTCTTTCATGTTGGTATAATTACTGGGCCCCCCTACCTATGGGGCTCAATATTACTTTCTAGCCGAATCTTAACAATTTTCTCCATACTTCTCTATAAATATAGAACGATTGACTTTTTTTTATTTTTAACAATTACTAAAATAATTTTAAAGTAACTACATAATAAATTATTTAATTTTGTATTTTTCTGGTTACACATATTTGATAAGATAATTCATAAGCATTCATGGGTCAGATAGATAAGCATTGAACTTTCGATTTCAACGATTTCGCGACCGACGTTCAATTTCCGATAAAAGTATCATTTTTGTATTTTAAAAATAGGAAAATTGAAAAAATACGTACATTGTTGTTAAATTTAAATTAATTTTATTTATCGTAATATATAACCCCTACAATTAGGAAATCCATTAAACTTCTGCTATTTATTTTACACTATTTTAATAAGGGCTCAGAAAAAAATTATCTATAATAATAATAATAATAATAATAATAATAATAATAATAATAATAATAATAATAATAAAAAAGTTCTTGTTCACAGTTGTTCATATTATTGTTTGTTGTTATCGTCCTACCAAAGTGTTTGTATATGGAATCACAATATTTTTTATATGAAAATTATGGAGGTTTATTAGAAAAAAAAAAAATGACAAAAATCCTTTTTTTATTTTTGGCTTATAAACGTTTTTAAATTTAAATAATTTAAAATTTTTAGTTTTTTCCATTTATTTTTTATTTTATAAAATTAGTTTCAATTCCTACTTCAATTTTAAGTATTAAGTGAGGTATCAACAATTTTTTAATTTTGTCCTTCATAATAATTAAAAATTAAACTTTAAACTTAAATCTTAAGCGTTGATAAACGTTTTTATCTCTATTTATATAGTTTAAAAAAACGTAACATTTTTTAAAATTAGAAAATATCTAATTTCGACAAAACACAAACCGCAAAACACTTTAAAAATTATGCAAAACCAATTAGATATATAAAAAC